TTCTGGGTCTTCTGGTCTCGGCCAAAACACCATGTGCTTGGCAGTTTTCTCCAGTATCCTTCAGCTCAGGTTACCAACTCCTCCGTCCACCTTTACAAACGCGTGTGTGCGCGCACGTGCCAGGGGACAACCTCGGATGTTACTCTCAGAAGACAGTCACCTGGTCCCCAAACCTGTATGTATGAGCTTGTGCATGCATGGCATGCTGCTGAGGTCAGAAGATAATGTACGGGAGTCCAGAATCTTCTATCATGTGCCTTTGGCTACTAAGCCATTCTGCAGGCCCCATCTACAAGGATCTGCCTGTCTCTGGTTCCCCAGAGCTAGAATTACTGGTATTGCCAACCCACCAACCCCCTTGAGTTCTGGGAGTTGAATGCACATATTCAATCCACACTCTTTCTTTTTTGCAAAGCAAGGACTGTACTGACAGCTATTTCCCCAGGTATGCTGGTCCCTATGTGGAAACAGGGTCTTGCTCTCTATGGTTCAGGCTGGCCTGGAACTCAAGATTCTTCTGCCTCCATCTTCTGATTGCTGTTTGTCCCAAGCCTGGTTTAACCACTTAACAATTTCCTGTTTCATCAGACTATGGTTATCAGGAGGGCAGAGGCCCATTGCTAAATCTCAGCGCCCAGGAGAGAGCACTATTTCTAGACTACACAAACTGTAGAATGAGGGGTGCCCCTGTCTTAAGCCCAGTGTATCATTAAGAAGATGCATGAACTACAGATTCTCAGGAAGCTTCTTGGGGTAGAAAGATGGCAGTCATCTCTGCCTTCCCAGAGGACCGTGATCCAATGAAAATTGAGCTATGGCTGGAGAGGGACAAGAGGAGGCAACGAAGTTTGTGGGACTTGGAGAAGCACCAAAAGAAAACACTATTACATTTGACAAAAAGCTGCAACTAATTTTTTTGCCTGATGTCCTAAATCGTGTCCAAGGGCTCCGTCCTAGAAACAGTCATCTCGCTTATGGGGGACAAGAATATTTGGACAGACAGCTTGCAAATTAGGCACTTTACTCCGCTCGAAGTTAATCTGCCTACAGGGAAAACCAGCTCCTGGACCACACGTACGGAACACAGGAATAAAATGGCAGCCACCAGGAACGCGGGCGCTGCCCAAGGTCACGTGACTCACTAGCTTCCGGTCCTCCCCCCCAACCCCCAGGCTCTTGAGTCGCACTTCCTGGGCTCGGGCGGACCGCGCTGAAGGATTTTGCGGGTCCCAGGGCGCTGAGGCTGCTGTGACCTGAGAGCGGCCGCGAGCGCATGGAGGGGACCCCGCCGGGGGCGGCGCCCTCCTCGGCGCTGGCCGCCGTGCTCAAGCACAGCTCGGCGTTGCCGCCCGAGAGCGCCCAGGTCCAAGGTTACGACTTCAACCGCGGCGTCGACTACCACGCGCTTCTGGAAGCCTACGGCACCACCGGCTTCCAGGCTACCAACTTCGGGCGCGCGGTGCAGCAAGTCAACGCCATGGTGAGGTGCGGGGCGACCGGGGCGGGAGGTGGGGCCGCTCCGCGCGGATTTCCGCGTGAGCGTCCGGGAGAGGCGGAGTCCTGGTAAACTAGTGTTCTGGGATGGGAGGAGCTTGGGCTTAAAAATCAAAAAGGGCTTGGTAGGAGGAGCTTAATGCTGGGAGAGACTTGGATTCGCTTTTTCCAGTGGAAGGAGACAGTGGAAGAAGTTACGGGGTGGTTCTCAAAAGGGAACAAACCCCAAGTGACAGACCTGGACCTGGAATGGGAGGATTAGGGTCTGCACAGGGGTTGTGCTTTGGTTTGGTTTTCCCTGAGTGCAATCAACCTCTGGAATCCAATCCATGTGGGGTTCCTCAACTGAGGTTTGGAGTCTTAGTGCAAGTTTCCTGTGCCCTTATGACCAGATTGAGAAGAAGCTGGAGCCACTGGCTGTAGATGAAGATCATCACGAAGACCTGACTCAGAGCCGCCGCCCACTCACAGGCTGCACCATTTTCTTGGGCTATACTTCCAACCTCATCAGTTCAGGCATCCGTGAGACCATTCGATACCTAGTCCAGCACAACATGGTGGGTCCACGTTAGCTCTGTGGCCCCAACCTCCTCGGGCCAGCAGACAGAAAGAGTTACTGATCAGTTAAGAGAAACGAGAGGCCAGGAGTATTTGTTCTGTGAAAGATTTGGGTTTGGTTCCCAGTACCCACATGGTGGCTCATAACCATCTGTAATGGGATCCGACGCCCTCTTCTGGTGCGTCTCAAGAGAGGGACGGTGTACTCACACACATTAAATAAATCTTAAGAAAGAGTAAAGGCTGTGAGGAGATATGGAGTATTGTCTTTAGATTTACTGTCAGTCCTTATGCCTCAGCCTCCTTCCTGAGTGCTAGGATCACAAGAATGTGCCACTTTTTCTGACTCTGGGTCTGCTTTCAGCAGAGGACTGGGCTTGAGTTGTTTTTGTTGTAGAGCTCATACTTTGGGTCTGGATGAGCGCAGCCACTGTTGGGGTGCTGCTTAGGACGGTCAGTGTCGTTGCCTGTGACTACAGGTGGATGTATTGGTGACCACTGCTGGAGGTGTGGAAGAAGACCTCATCAAGTGCCTGGCACCCACGTATCTTGGCGAGTTCAGCCTCAGGGGGAAGGAGCTCCGGGAAAATGGGATCAATAGGTGAGGCTCTGAGTACTGGTGGGGGCAGGGAAGCTGGACTGAGGGTCCCCATGACCAATGCCCACATGGCTCCCATTTCCAGGATTGGGAACCTGCTGGTGCCAAATGACAACTACTGCAAGTTTGAGGACTGGCTCATGCCCATTCTGGACCAGATGGTGCTGGAGCAGAATACAGAGGTAGGGCAGGAAGGGCTCACAGGAAGACCTACATAGTAGAGTCAGAGGATATTCGAGCTAATACTGATATTCTCTCCCCTGTTAGGGTGTGAAGTGGACACCTTCCAAGATGATCTCCCGGCTTGGGAAGGAGATCAACAACCCAGAGTCTGTGTATTATTGGGCCCATAAGGTGGGTTGGCTGGGGACAGCATTCCTAGGCTTTGGTTTGCACTCACTTGTCTTTGCAGCCACATGAGAGTCTCTATAATTATTCTTAGTCTTCCCAAGTTTAGATGAAGAGTGTTGAACTAGAGAATGTCACTTGACTGCAGGGTTCTCCTAGTTATGCCCCATGCACTCATGGGATTCGGTGTAGTGCCTTAGAAGTCAGTGGGGCCTGACCCAGGGCACTCTGCACCCTGGGACAGTGCAGCTCAAAAGTCTGGACAATAACAAGCCACTGCTCAGTGTGCCAGCCGGGTGTGGTTTTCTTCATGTCTGCCTCCACATGTAAAGCAGAGGGGTCATGTCCAGACAAATCAAGCGGCCTACTCAGGTCTGGAGGATGCCACTGGGTTGGGGATCAGAGTTTTTCTGGGGTGTGAGCTGTAGCTGCTAACTGGTCCTGTCTCTACCAGAACCACATCCCTGTGCTGAGTCCTGCACTCACAGATGGCTCACTGGGTGACATGATCTTCTTCCATTCCTATAAAAACCCAGGCTTGGTCCTGGACATCGTTGAAGGTGAGGTGCTAAGGCCCTGGGAGAAGGGGGAGGAAGGCCTACTGAGGCCAAGGCCTGACCTCTGCCTTCTCTCCCAGACCTGCGACTCATCAACATGCAGGCCATATTCGCCAAGCGCTCTGGGATGATCATCCTGGGTGGAGGTATGGTCAAGCACCACATCGCCAATGCTAACCTCATGGTGAGTGAGTGGCTCTGGCAGGCCATCCCCACCCGCTGTTATAAGAGACGGCCTGCTAGGCCTGGACTACAGCAGTGGACTAGACGACCAGAATCCATGTCCTCTTTGGAGTTATGTTGGGGTGAGGCGGGTCAGACAGCCATAAGTGACATGCATGTGAGGACTAAGTCATGTCAGGCAAGGTGACTAGTCATAGCTACTTGGGAGACTGAGGCAGGAGGAAGGCTTCTGCATAGGTCAGGGCCAACTTGAGATGCTGTAAGGTAAAAGGAATGCTGTTTATTGAAGGGGATGTTGGAACAGGCTTCTGGAACTGTAAGCTTGAGGAGATGATGTGCTCCCCACAGGGCTTTTGGTTATGTATGGGAAGAGCATTCTCAGTGAGGGAACTCCAGTGCAAAGGCCCTGAGGCATCTTCACCTCAAGTGGTGAAGGCAGCCTAGAGGTTACACTGCAGAGCTAGCTAGGCCTGTGGAACAAAAAGAGGGTTTTGAAACTTGCTCTGACTGAGAACAGGACTCGGGAAGAGCATGTTTGCACAGGCCCTCTGGTAGCTACGGGGTGAGAGTAATGGATCTGAGGCGCAGAATAGTGCTGTAGTGGGAGCAGAGGTAGGTGTGGTCTCCTGTGGATGGTTTGTGGCAGCCACCTAGCCGTCTCTCCCGCCCTACACACCCCTCTTACTTTGCCTGTGTTTTAACTGCCTTGTCCCATGGATGCTCAGAAGCGGCACGGTTTGCTTTAGGGTGGGACAGCTTATACCCAGGCGGTACAAGGGGTTGGAAACATGATCACTTACCCAGTAACCTCAGGCACCAATGGCCCTTCCTAAAAGCTCTTTAGGCCTTCCTCTGTGTCATACCCAGCCTCCGAGGCTGTGGTGGTCCCTTTGTCTATGGCTTCTGACCAAGCCTTCCTCTACCCACAGCGGAATGGAGCTGACTACGCTGTTTATATCAACACAGCCCAGGAGTTTGATGGCTCAGACTCGGGAGCCCGGCCAGATGAAGCTGTCTCTTGGGGCAAGATCCGGATGGATGCACAGCCAGTCAAGGTAGATGGTGGCCGGCCAGGGTCCACGGCTGTCCCACGGGCTGTCCCACGGCTGTCCCATGGGCTGTCCCATGGCTCCATGGCTCACTCAGGTCCTCTGCAGGTCTATGCTGATGCTTCTCTGGTTTTCCCCTTGCTGGTGGCTGAGACATTCGCCCAAAAGGCAGATGCCTTCAGAGCTGAGAAGAATGAAGACTAAGAAGAAGGGTAAAGACTGGGGTTTCTTGCCATACCTTTATTTATTACTTTATAGAGCAGCCCCTCCCTGGGCCCACTTCTTGGTCAGCAGCCTCTAGAATAAATGTTCTTTTTGTTGGGTTTTCTGAGTTAGTTTGGATCCTTGGTGTCAGGTCCGTAAGCCTCAGCCTGCTCCACCCTCTGCCTCATAGGTCTCTTCTCGCCAGTACTGGATGCTACCTCCCATGGCAGTTAGCAGGCAGGGTTCTGTGGGATGGTAAGCCAGTGACTGCACCACATTCGAACCCACAGGCAGGGCCAGCGCTAGGGCACCCTACGGAATGAGTGGTAGGGAAGAGTTACTCTCAGTCAGTCTCCTTGAGGTCTAGCCTGAAGTCCTCAGTCATCTCTTCCCTGACTTCTTTTGGCAGTGCTGGGAATGCTAGGCAGATCTTGCCTTGCCACTGAGCCACACCCTTGGCCTAGAGACTCCTAGCCTTGGCCATAGAGAGGCCCTAGCTCAGTCTTCCTTGTGACCCCCCCTGGAACCAACTACAGCCACCACCTTCTCCAAGTCCTTTAGCATATTCTGTTCCCCTTGCTTGAAATATTCTTCCTGCTTTTCTCTCATTCATCCTTCATAATTCCAGTTTAGGAAGCTGAGGCAGGATGAATTCAAGCCCAGCCTGGGCTACAAAGTGAGACACACACTTTCACCCTCTGCCAGAAATCCCTGCCCAAATACCTGTCATTATTGCTCTTTTCAAAATGGGAAACACAGAGCTGACGCCCTTGGCAAGGAGCACAAGGGGAAGGCTCACCTCCACCAGGTCCCAGAAGAACACTTTGCCGTCCTCAGAGCAGCTGACCACGTGTGTATCCCGCTCGCTCAGGCAGCAGTCCAGCTTGTACTGCTGGTTTTTATGGCCAGTGTACCTAGCAGTGGGCGTGGGAAGGATCAGAGGGGCTTGTCCCACCCCAGAAGTGGGGTGAGGGCAAAGGTCAACCACGGAGACTCACTCGCCCAGCAGCTCCCCTGTGTCTTTGTCTAGAAGCCGCAAAGTTGAGTCCAGGCTGGATATCAGGGTGCACTGCCCGTCCCGGCTGAAGCAGGTGCAGGTGATGGGGCCTGAGAGAGAGCGTGGCGGGCAGGTAAATCTGGGTCCTCTTGTCTGTCCCATCACTTGCCTCGACTGTCCCACTGGCCTCCAGGGCCACACTCACTGCCCACGTAGTCTGAGGAGACCTGTCCCATCCTTAGGTCATAGCGCCTCACGCGGCCATCCACGGAGCTGCAAGAAAGGGTAGATCTAGCCTAAAGCATTGCAACCTTTTGCTCCAGGGCAGCCTGTGTCCCTGTGCATTCCTCGCCATCTAGAAAAATGTGAGGAAGGCAGTGATGCTCTTCTGCTCTGTGACTCAGTCTCAGGGGACAATTTAGCCCCATTCGAAGAGCTATGCCCTCTCTTCCAACTCCTCAGCGCTGTCTAGATCCTACACCTTCTGCTTGGCACAGCAGTCGACCTTACCTGTACCTGGGTTCTATATCTGCACATTTGACCAACTATAGCTCTGGAATACATTTTATAAATATTTTATTATCTCTCTTTTCAAGACAGCGTTTCTCTGTATAGCCCTAGCTGATCTGGAACTCACTCTGTAGACCAGGCTGGCCTCTTAGCCTGCACAGGCTCTGAGTTCCATACTCAGCATCTCAATCAAGCAAACAAACCAAAACCATATAGCAGAATGGGCAGCCAAAAATTTGCTATCTGTGGTAGATCCTGAAATCAGCTTACTATAGATACCAAGGCGACTGTACTCTCAGAGTGCGACTCCTTCCCCATCCCCAGACCATCTTATTTTTATCATGTAGGTATGAAGGCTTTGCCTATAATCTCCAATCCTTAATTCCCCCCCACCCCCCACAGCAGCTTTCTCCTTTTTCTGAGACAGGATCTCACGGAGTCCTGACTGGTCTCATAGTCACTTTGTGACTGAGTTCATCCTTGCACTTCGCTCAGGCTGTGTCCTACCACACCTGCCTCACCAGCAATTTTGGAAGCACAGCCACAGCAATGCCAGTCTTCCCCTCAAAAAAATACGGCCTTTCACTGCTCTCAGAAAAATAAATGTCCAAATGTCTCCTGCAGACCTCTAGAGCCTGTTCAGCCGGCCATGCCTTCAGCAGCTCTCATCTGGCTTAGCTGTACCTGCCAAGTTCATCTCCTTGGGATGTGTGCTTGCTCTCCCTCCAGCTAGCCACTAGGTGGCTCTAATCCACCAAGATTGCTCTCACCAGGCCTTTGCTGCTACCAATCCTCCCATTTTTGCTGTCTTGCATGTTCTTGCTTCTTGACTTTTGTCCCTAATGTGACTAGATTAGTTGTACTTCTGATTTATTTATTTATTTATTTATTTATTTATTTAGACAGGGTTTCTCCGTGTGGCCCTGGCTGTTCTAACTCTGTCAAGACCTCTGTCTGCTTCTGCTTCCTGAGTGCTAGGATTAAAGGCATGTGTCATTATTGCCTAACTGTAGACAGGCTGGTTTTAACTCTTGGTCCTCCTGCTCTGGCCTTCTCAATGTTGGGAAGATGTTACCACATCTGCCATAGTTGGCATTCAGTAATTTTTTGTTTGTTTTTTTTGAGATAGGATATCTATTTAGTTCTAGCTGGCCTGGAACTTGTTATGTAGACCAGAATGGCCTGTAACTCAGAGAGCCACTTAGCTTTGTCTCCCAAGAACTGGGGTTAAAGGCACAATGCCATCACATCTGCCTGGCTCATGGTTGCATTTATTTATGTAAATTTTTATTAATTTTTCTGGATTTTTATCTCATACATGAATATTTTTAGCTGCATGTATGTATATGAATCATGTGTGGTTCCCTGGGGAGGCCAAAAGAGGGTGTTGGATTCTCTAGAACTGGAGGTACAGATGGTTGTGAGCCACCATGTGGATGCCGAGAATCAAACCTGGGTTCTCTGCAAGAGCAGAAAGTACTCTAAACCACTGGACAGTCTTTCTAACCCTCATGGTTGCATTTATTGACTGTCCTGCTGGACAGGACAGGCTAGGAACTGTAGCTCTGTCAGTGGAAGAGGCTACACAGTTTCTACCATGAAGTAATGTATGCTTAACAAGGAAGGTCTCAAAAGGTCCAAGTAGGTAACAGAAGTGGGACCTCTCGAGGAGGAGAGTAGCCAACCAGGTGCAGCCAAGGAGAGAAGCACAGAGGGTGTTGTCTTTGCTACACTCTTGAGCTGAGCCACAGTGTGGAGTCAGCCACGACAAAGTTCCAGATCACCAAGCCGAGACTAAGCGATGTCTGTAGGCCTGGGAGAATCTCAGCAGGAAGAAAGCAAGACTTCTGATCCAAGTTAGATCTCCAGAAACCACACAGTGGCTGAATGAAGTAACAAGATCTAATGTCTCAGCATTCTTCCTGGGGAAATGGGAAGTGGAGATAGGAGTCTCTTGGAAAGCCACAGGCTGGCCAGTCAGCCTGGAGTACACGGTAGAAACGGAGAGAGATCCTGTCTTGCCTCAACATAGGAAAGGAGAGAACTTACTGTCCTTTCACCTCTACACACATGCCTGCACACACACAGTACTAAAATAAAATTAAAGAGAACTCGAGCCCCAGAGAGGCGTCTGACCTCTGCTGACACCTTCCCTCCCATACTCCCCTCATACAGATGTATCCTCACTAATTTATTTTTAAAATTGTTTTATGTTATTTGTGTCTTCGCTTGCATGTATATGTGTGTACCATGTGCATACCTTGTGCCTGCACAGGCCAGAAGAAAGTATCAGGTCCCCTGGAACTGAAGTTACAGGCAACTGATTGTAAGCCATCACATGGGTGCTGGGGATTGAAGCTAGATTTCTTTGAAAGAGCAGTCAGTGCTTTTAACCACTGAGCCATCTCTCCAGCCCTCATATCTTTGACCTTTTGGGATGCTTATTTTGATTTACAGAATGAAGTGTTGCCTAATTATCTGAGCTGGGCCAGGCTTTGAGGTGTATACCTATAATTGCCGAACTTGGGAGGCAGAGCTGGGAATACTGCCACAAGGCCAGCCTGGACTCTAATAGTGAGTTCTGTGACGGAGTGAGTCTCTGTCAGAAAAACAAAAAGCATATCTAGCCTGGGATTTAGCATTTTGTGTGTGTGTGTGTGTGTGTTGTTGTTGTTGTTTTGAGACAGGGTTTCTCTACATAGCCCTGACTACTTGGAGATCCAAATGCCTCTGCCACCATGCCCTTCACCGCTCTTTCTAACACTGTCAGCACTTGGGAGGTAGAGGCAAGAGGATTAGGAATTAAAGGCCGCCTTGGATTACAAACGACCCTGTCTCAAAAGAAACCAAACCATGGCCACTATGGCCTCCACTGGCACCAGGGCAAGGAGTGGCCCTGGACCTACTCACCCTGCCAAAATCTCATGGTCTGACACCTTTACACTGGATATGCCGTCTCTGGCTTCATCTAGTGTTTGCACTGGCTCAGGCTTCCGAGAACGACAGTCCCAACATCGGACACTGGAATCGATAGAACCTGTAAGGCCGACATGAAGGTGAGGTCAGCTTTGGGTCTCTGGATAGCAGCCAGTTTCTAGCTGTCCAGACCCAGACTCACCAGACAGGATGACCGTGGCCTCTTCATTAAACTGAACGGTGTTCACCTTCTGAGAATCAGGAATTACCAATTTAGAGAAGTGGGGCTTTGGAGGACTGGGATAAAGGCAAAGCTCTCAGTGCATGTTAGAGCAAGGGCACCTGTTATAGGTAGGGAAGGTGAAAGAAAGGTTCTGGGGAAATTGGAAGGAAGACAGTGCTTGGTGGCTGTCAGGGTATACTAGATGGGCACATTGGTTAGACTGTAACAAAAGGATCTTCCTCGTACCACCTAGGCGCTAATACGGATCTCCACAATGCACATGTTAATGAGGGTCTTCTGGCTTGTACTCACTCCAGCGTGGCCCCGAAATTTGCGCACGACCTGTCCAGTTGCTACATCCCACAGCACCACCGTCTTGTCCCCGCCACCAGAACAGAGATGGCTGTTGTCAAAGGAGCTGGAGGACGGGGAAAAAGAAGGTCAATAGCCACTCACGATCCTAGCCACTGCGCTCCTTATTCCAGCCTGGCCCAGGGCTCACCCGGCCGCATCCAGCACTTCGTAGCCGTGACCACTGTAGGTCCGCAGCAGCGTCCCACGCAGCGGGTTCCACAGCTTTAGGGTTTTATCGCTGCCGCACGTCAGGCAGTAGTTGCCATCCACTGGGGAACAGTAGACAGGGGTTACCGGACCGCGGCCTCAGGTGGAGGGACGCCCGGGATGAAGGCGAGGGCGCTTACCATTAAATCGCACGGCTCGCACCGCGCCCTGGCCGCAGTCCAGCGTCTTCAACCGTTTCTGCGGTAGCTCCGGTGCCCGCGGCTTTGGCTCAGGAAAAGCCATACTTGAAGTGCATTAGTCCGCTGCCTGTTTTACTGCTGATGTGTTGAGATCTCCTTCCTTCCAAGCTTTCAAAAAAAAAAAAAAAAAAAAAAAAAAAAAAATCCTTGCTTGGGTGTAACATTATTATTGACCCCTAGGATTTATTTCCTGCTTCGCGCCTCCGTGTTCATAGTTTCAGTGCGTTAATGACAGTGTTTGGGATACTGAAAGCTTCTTTCATTTTTCCCCCCTATACTTCCTACTTCCCAGGAAGTGTTCTGGCCTTTTCTCATTTTCCTTTTTTCTGGCTGACAGCCGTTCTGCTCACTGCCATTGGGAACAGAAGCGCTAGGTTACTGGTGTTACTCTAAAAGCCATCCTTCATTCTCACGCCGGAAGCTGCTGTTCTAGCCGTGAAAGAAGGACGGCGTGGTCCTCAGTTTGCTATGTCCACCAACAATATGTCCGACCCACGGAGGCCCAATAAAGTGCTGAGGTGAGCAGTCCAGCAAGTCATGGCAAGGTGTCTTTGGTTGTGGCCGTGGGTCTAGGCTAAGTTAGCCCAGGTAGGACTTGGTCGCTCCTGATCCTTGAACATGTCGCAGGTATAAGCCTCCTCCGAGTGAGTGCAACCCGGCTTTGGACGACCCGACTCCGGACTACATGAATCTTCTCGGCATGATCTTCAGCATGTGCGGCCTCATGCTTAAGGTGGGTGGGGATGAATTTCCCTGAGTGTCTGTTGGTCTGCCTGAAACTGAGGCCTGGGGGCGGGTTCAGAAAGAGGCAGGTCCTCTGGCTGTGCTGGAGGTGGGGAAGGGGGCTGTCAGCGCGGGGCGGAGCTAGGGTGACGTCCCCAATATAGGGGAAGTTGGGCTTGCACTTGCGGACGTGTACACCGGCTAGCGGGTCTGAGGGTGGAGCCTAATTTAGGCAATTTACAGACGACTTGTGGAAAAAAGGCAGGGAGGGTCGTTAGCATGTGGGAACGTTAAAGCAGTCTGAGAGGATGTGGTGGGGGGAGAGGCCAGACACACACAGCAGGATCAGAAGCCTGCTGCTTGAAGTAGGCTCTGAAGGGTTGGTGTTGAGGTACTTACCCGGGGACAAGGTCTGAGCTGGAGGTAGAACTCGACGTTTGAGGATCTCGGTCGTGGGAGCTCCTTGGCATTCTTGTCACTGACTGACCCAGTCTCCTCACCCACCTTTCTTCAGCTGAAGTGGTGTGCTTGGGTTGCTGTGTACTGCTCCTTTATCAGCTTCGCCAACTCCAGGAGCTCGGAGGACACGAAGCAGATGATGAGTAGCTTCATGTGAGGCCCCCGAGTAAGGGGGTGGGGCCCCCTGAGTTAAGGGGGTGGGGCCCCTGCACACTCTCCAGGACTGACAGCTCTTCTCTGTCTCAGGCTCTCAATCTCGGCCGTGGTGATGTCCTATCTACAGAATCCTCAGCCCATGACGCCGCCATGGTGATGTCACCTAGGAGGGTTGGATCCTCGGCTCTGGCACACCTTTTCTCTGGTCTAGCCTTTGGCTGCCTCCCCCCTCCCTCAGCTGCTGTCCTAAACTTGCCTGAGTGTGGTCTCTGGGCTCCCAGCTGAATGGAGGGAAGTTGGCCCTTTCTTTGGGGTCCTGCTTCTGCTTTGACAAAGAGATAACCCTGCAGACTTCCCTTTAATCTTCCCTCCCCTGGCCACTGTTAGGAAAAACACTGGTCATGTTTCTAAGTATTCCCTTGTTTTCTTATGAAACCAGTTGATATAAAAATTTCCACTCTGCTTTGCTTGTATTACTTCTCTCTGGTTCATGGGGTGCTCTGCCCAGTGAAGACTGCCCTGTTTTGGGACCCCTGTCTGAGCTTTTTTAAAAAATGAGTTAATGTTTATATTTCACAAGCCTCATGTCTAGGGTTAGACATCAGAGGCAAGACAATTATTTCTATACTTGGGTGATTGTTGGCCCTGATAACTAATCTAGGTTTTGGTTTTCTTTATGTGTGTGTGTGTGTGTGTGTGTGTGTGTATGTGTGTGTGTGTATATGTATGTATGTGTGTGTGTATGTATGTGTGTATGTGTGTGTGTATGTGTGTGTGTGTATATGTATGTATGTGTGTATGTGTGTGTGTGTGTGTATGTATTTACTTGTTTACTTTGAAGTGCTGTGTATGAAATTCGGGTCTTTATACAGGCTACACAGGTATTCTACAGAAGTATATTACTAGGCTTTATTTATTTGTGTATTTGTATGCCATGGCATACCTGGTAATCGTATAGTACTGGCTCAGCCGGCAACATGCTGACATTACAGCTATATATTACAGCTATATATTAATATACCAAACCCTGGCCCTGGGTTTTCTTATTAGAGCAACAGAGCAATGAATAGACCAGTAGGAATCGGGAAGGGTGTGCAAGACTCTGGGCTCTCTCTCTCCTTCAAGGCCCTCGAAGCTCACGGTGGCTCAGTTTCTGTCCAGACTGGGCTGGGTGCCTCATTCATTCAGGTGCCAATGGGATTCAGTGGCAGTTTGTTTAAAGTCCCAGTCCAGAAGGCAGACCAGAACTGTTTTCGACCCCAGCTTCTAGCCACTCTAGGTCCCTCCAGGACCCCAACCCTAAAGAGATTGGGAACCCTAGAATCTCATCTACACTTTCACCCCTTAGGAAACATTGAAATCCACTGGAAAAGCTGAATCCTTCGCTCACACTCATACGAAAACGTATCAAAAAGTCTTAGTGCTAAGATTTCCTGCCAGAAGACCCCTGGGTAGAATGGGGTTGGAGAGAGATCCAGTACTTCCCTGTGCTCAGTACATAAGTCAGTCTACTGCCACAGTTCCTTCATAGCCCAGGCCCTGCCCCCTTCTTCACCGATTGGCGGTTCGGGTTCTAGGGGCGGAGCATTCTCAGGGATTTAGCTAGGGTAGAGAAAGCCGCGGAAGCAGCGTCGCCGGAACCATGGGCACCCGATCGCTCACCTCTGGTGTCCGTGCTGGTGGCGGGAACACTGGGTGGCTGTGGATGAGCTCCTGCAACCTAGGTTTGCCAGTCCTGCCTATTTTCTTTCTTTTTTGGTTGTTACTGGCGGCGCCTGGCGCTCGAGCCGCGGGTTACAAGGTGAGCTGGGGCCCACGGGCGGAAATGTACTTGGGCAGAGTTGAACTAGAGATGTGGGTGGCACTGATCCTTAGGAGACTGCTGTTGATCTGACGGTGTGGACTAAGAGCATGCATTGGGTTTCTGAAAAGGTCTGGCATGAGCCTGAAAACAAGGCTGCACGTGATTGTATTTGCCTCCCTGTGACTCCAAGCGGCCTGCTTGGACTTTGCATTGCACTTTACCGTGGTTGGTCGGGTGAAGGATGCGCAGCCACTTGAAAGCAGGACTCTAAGCTTTGCACAGGTTGTGCTTCCATGGTTCCACTTGTTGGTGACTGCATCTCCCAAGACCCATTTGGGGTGGCTCTGCTGGAAAACCTGTCTTGCAAATCTGACTACATCACCTGGAAGCGCCCCTTCTTTACTTTCCAGAGTATGAGTATGGGATGTGAACTGGGCTTCATCCCGAGCTTCACCTTCCTTCAGGACTCTCAGCTTCCTGGCTCCTTTCTGTGCGAGTGACTCCTCCTCACCATGCGTCAGTGACCTAATCTGACAGGGCTAGCGTTGCCCCACATCTCAGGGTGGTTGCCAGCTGTCTGCAAATGCTTAGCTAACCCCAGCTAAAGTTATCATCCTAAAGTATGTGATCTGCTCTGTGGGGTTTGTGCAAAGCGGGAATTGCATCTATAGTGTATATGGGCACTATACTCTGTGTGTCCTTCCTGGGACAGATTATAGCTTTTTGACTTCTCTGGATCACTCCAAAGTTCAGGCCTGTGTTTGTACCATCTCCCTGCCTGCTTTATGATAGTGGAAGTCAAACTTATGGTCTTGAACACGCGAGGCAATGGTTCTACCACAGAGCCCCCAACCTGCCTGCCTCTAAAACTCTAAGATACTGACAGGGAATGTGTATGTTTTTTGGGGGGGTCTCTGTGCAGACATGTCCCGCAACGAAGCCAGGCATGCTCAATGTGCACCTGCTGCCCCATACGCATGATGATGTGGGCTGGCTGAAGACGGTGGATCAGTACTATTATGGCAGTGAGTAGAGTCGGGGGCCCTGTAATTGTTCACGGACTTGGATGTTGGGGTGGGAGCATTGTATTCTGGACTCTGTACCAATGCGTATCTTCTAGTAGAGCCTGACTTCCTGACCTTCATGCCCACAGTCCTGAGTGATGTTCAGCATGCGTCTGTTCAGTACATCCTAGACTCAGTGATCTCCTCTCTGCTGGAGGATCCCACCCGTCGCTTCATCTATGTGGAAATGGCTTTCTTTTCCCGTTGGTGGAAACAGCAGACCAGGGCAACCCGGGAAGCTGTACGGAGCCTGGTGCGCCAGGGTGAGCCTGCCCCACGAAGTGAAAAGAGGAAGCCCAGCCTAGCTTGTACTTCTGCAAACTTGATCGCTCAGATTACTTGTTTATTTATTTACTTATTGTTATTTATTGGACCAGTGTCTTATTATATAGCCCTTCCTAGCCTGGAATTTGTTATTAGATTAGGCTTGTCTTGAACTTGTGGAACTCCTCCTTCCTCCCTGTTTCCCTAGAGCCAGTACGAAAGGCTTGGACAACCAGGCATCTCTGAGATCTTTATCATATCATAGTGTACAGACACTGTACCCATAGTTCTACCTGCTTAGAAGCTGTCTTCATGTAGAGAACCCTGTCTTACAAGGTCCCACCTCCAGTGGCTCCACAGGAGAGTCAGCCATGCAGATCTAAGCACACTGGTTTGGAAACTCCCCTCCTCTTCAGGCTTTGGTGTATAGTATGGTCTGTTTTCCTAGCCTTGCCCATCATGGCCCCACTTCTAACAGCTGCCCTTCTCCCCACTGCCTTATTTGAACAGGGCGCCTGGAGTTTGTCAATGGTGGCTGGGTGATGAACGATGAGGCAGCCACCCACTATGGTGCTATTGTGGATCAGATGACACTTGGGCTGCGCTTCCTGCAAGACACATTTGGTAGTGATGGACTTCCCCGTGTGGCTTGGCATATTGACCCTTTTGGCCACTCTCGAGAGCAGGCCTCCCTGTTTGCCCAGGTGCCAGCCACCCTATTCTCTTTTGGACCTGCCCTTTACCTACTCTGACTCTGCTTTTAGCTGCTCAAATCCTGCCTGCCCTTCTCTAGTAGTCCTTGGGACTAGACAGTGGCTTGCTAAGACACCACCTCTTGGGTGAACTTGACTCTGGTGAGTTGAGTTGAAGCCCTGACTGGCGTATGTCCTCGGGTACCACAGGTTTAAACTGCATTGTTGATCTTTTCCCTTGACCAGGCCTTATGTGAATTTGGACTCCACTAGCCTGCTAGGGCTTACACAGCTCTCTAAACCAGTGACTGTTGGAGATATCTTCCTTTAAAAACAGCTTCATGTCTGTGCTGACCCAACCCACCTCAGACTGTAGACGGAACAAGGGAGGTGGAAGTGGGTTGTGACTTAACAGCCGCTGCTTCTTTGCTAATCCTTCTCAACCCTGGAAATAAACACTGAGACCCTGCGGGACCCATGCCTGTGATGCCAGCACTTGGGAGGCCAGTGCAGGAGGACTGTGAGCTAGAGGCCAGATGGTCTATACAATAAGACCCTGTCTCAAAAAAAAAAAAAAATCTAGGGCTGGAGAGATGGCTAGGTGGTTGAGAGCACTGACTGGTCTTCCAGAGGTCCTGAGTTCAATTCCCAGTGACCATATAGTGGCTCACAACCATCTGTAATGGGATCCGATGCCCTCTTGTATGTCTGAAGACAGCTGTAGTGTACTCACATACATAAACAATTAAAAAAAAGAAAACAAATCTAGCTTTAAAAAATTATTATTTAATATATATGGGTATTTTGCCTGCATGTATGTCTGTGTACCATGTGTGTGCAGTGCCCACACGGGAAGATTGTAGGACCTCCTGGAACTGAAGTAATGGATGTTTGCAAGTCACCATATGGATGCTGGGTATTGAACCCTGGTCCTCTGGAAGGGCAGATAATGATCTTAACCACTGAGCTGTCTTTCCAGCCCTGAAAAACATAGTTTTGGTTGTGCATACTTTCTCTGTGTGGTCTTTCCCAACTGGGCAAGAAGGCCCTACATTCCTTTACTCCATCCTCTCTCACTATCAGATGGGTTTTGATGGCTTCTTCCTTGGGCGCATTGACTATCAAGATAAATTTAATCGGAAGAAAAGGCTGAGGATGGAGGAGCTGTGGAGAGCTAGTGCCAGCTTGAAGCCTCCTGCTGCTGACCTCTTTACTGGTAAGTGGGTGGGAGAGCAAATCACACAAGACCTCAGGCCTAGGCGAGCCCTGCTGACATGCTCTGATTATCTGAGGAGGTTGGGTGATTTTTGAGCAGGGCTCTGTGTGTTCCTTTGTACCAGCTCTTTTGAATTTGGAAGTCTATCCTGGGTGGGATGTGACAGGTTCTGACCCCAGGACAGGTCTGGGGTGCTGAGTCTGGTTTTGTCTATAGGTGTGCTCCCCAATAATTACAACCCTCCGGAGAAACTGTGCTGGGATGTGCTATGTTCAGACCCTCCCGTGGTGGATGATCGCCACAGCCCCGAGTTCAATGCAGATAAGTTGGTCGATTACTTCCTGAAGCTCGCCACTTCCCAGGTAACAGATATCCAGATGCTAGTCCAGAATGTGCAGGCACAGGCACCTGACCTTTCTCAAAGCCCAGGGGA